TGCTGAGATCTTTTTTTTTTTTTGATAAAAATTTAAATGCAGACGTTCATAAAAAAAAAATAATAATTTGATTGTTAAAAAAAATTGCATTACCCAAAAAAAACAAAAAATCAGATTCTTTTGGAATATTTTGACTCTTTTGGATCGAATGAACTTTTTAATATATTTCGGGGTAATTTATTTATTTTTTTTTTGCTTTTAGATTCCTCATCTCTTTTGGATACGCTCACATGGTAAGGATCTTATTATATTTTTAATTGGTTTTTTATTTTAATAAATTCATTTGTCTTTTTTTTTTCGCTTTTTACATGGCATTGATTAAATAGATAGATAAGAGTTTCTATTTTGCTTAGATTTTTCTTTTTCATATATATATTTATTTTTGCTTTCCTTTTTTTTGTTTATATATTTTTTATTTTTGCTTACTAGATCTCCTTTCGAGTTCGGTTTATAATTGGTTTTCGATTTTGTAATTAATCGATTTTATTCAAGTATTCGATTCATCGATTTTGGTAGAATCCCTACATATATCAATATTGCATTTGTAGTTGGATGATATCCTCATTTTTAATGTCTTTTTACGTAATTTTCTTTTTTTTTTTTTTATTTATTAAATTAAATATTTATGTAATTGATCAAATAATAATTTGAATTATTAATTGTAAAAATCTGATTACAAAATAAGATCAGATGTCTACTGTAGCAGGAACATATAACGAAGATTTACTTGTGTGTGATGTAAACTCGATAAATACACAGTACTTTTTCAGAAAATATATCGCATTTCAAAATGAATTGATAGTAATTAAAAATAAAATACCAAATTAAATTTAAAATAATTAAAGCCTTACCGTCTTTTTTTTAATAGATTCAAATTATTAATTATAATTCTTATATAAATCCATTAATAATTCTTTACGTCTCCTCATCCAACTTTCCTTCAATCATCCATTTTCTTTTCATCTGCTTATTACAAAATAATTCATAAAAGGGGGAAATAAATTTTAATTCTTAAGCTAATTTGAGCACATGACTATGATCAGTGGACCAATTAAAACAATTTATCATAATTTTTGATTTACCCTTTTCTATTGATTGCCGCCCATATCGTTTGTAAATATTTTTAGCAAATTTCTAATAAAGCTATGAGAATGAAAAGTGTGTTCTTAGTGACTTCAACAATTGTTAGGAATTTTCTGAATAAAAGATTCTACATTATCTTTGATTGGAATTTCCTAAAAGAAAGAAATCAAAATCAAATAGTTACTAGCGGATAAATTACTTATTGTATAAGGTAAATTGTTTCATTCTTACTTTTCCTTGCCCTTCAAAGTATTTCAATTTTACAGAAATCCCATTAGTTTGCTTATAATTATATTCTTGTTGAGGCCATGAAAAATTCATTTGATGGGACATCCTTCGTTGTTAATACTAGGTAAAAAAAGATTGTAATGAATCATGATGCACAGTCAATTGCAGCAGCAGCTTCTTTTTTTTTTTTAAAAAAAAAATTAATTTTCTTCGAATATCCATCGCCAAAAAATAGAATTACGAGATTTAAATTCTCGCAGCTAAAGAAACCAACGCCTATATCCAATACCTCATAAAATTTGACTAATATTACATTGTACCCTTACGTCCATTAATACTAGCGTATTACCAGTTTTTGGTATAATAATTTCATTAAGGTATAAATAAAACTTACTCTCTCTACTATATAAGTAGATGGTTGAATTTGTGCAAATCTTCCAAGCATGACGTAATTTTAGGTGAAGACTTTCACATTTTCGTGTCCAAATTCTATAGTCCTGGCTAGGCACAGTAAGAAAATCCTCTTTTAAACATCAACAAAAATAAAAATTCATTAGTTATTATGTTTAAAAAATAATGTGTAAATATTATAGCAGACCTTATTAACCTGTGCTTAAATCTGGCCTGATTGCATCGACGAATTAATCAATATGTATAACTTCATGCCTTACATTTCTGATATAAATACCAATGACATTCGCTTAAAATATTATCTGCATTTCATGCAATACCAGATACCATCCATATTATTAAATACTGATATATTTCTTGCCTACGGGATCGTGCTTCTAATATATCCTGCCTTTTAGTTTCGTTAATTAATTAAACTATACGTAATATGAAATACTGTAAGCTTATACTTCAATACTCTATGATTGTTTCATGATCACCGCCAAAATTGTCTTCTCGTAAATGTTATTAAAAATGAAATAATGATATATTAATTAGCTAGTAGCATTGCTAAAATATTATGATGCAAAATTGTTAGCTCAATTTTACCTCTAACCGTTCGATATGTGCTTCGATGTTGATTTTGACACTTCCAGCTGATTATATGAAATTCTTACACGAAAAATTGGTTAATGTTAAAATATTATATATAATAAGTAAAATATTTGGAAATTCAGAAATACGCTCCATGTTTAAGAATTTTAATAATTATGTAGTACGCGACACGTTCATTTTATGGTTTCTATGGTGAGACAAGACTAATTTTGTGGTTGTATTAAATAGGTAGAGATCTGCAAACTCTCTTTCTCTACACCGGAAAATTTAGGGATTTTAATGAATTGAGCTTCCTTTCGGTAAGTACTTGCTCTTTTATTGTAGATTTAGTATTTATTTATTTATACTTTCCAGAATTTATTTCTATATTATCTTTGTGTAAAATCCATTATCGTTCCTGCGATGTCCTGTTCAATACTTACACGCCATCTATATTCTGATGGGAATTTTTGGTCACTGCCAGCTTACAAATGATTTCGACTGTTTAATACTTGGGTCTTCAAAATTGTAGGTGCAAAGTAACCAAAAATAACTCTGGAAATGATCTTAATAAAACAACTAGATCTAGGTAGGTAATTTTTTTTTACTAAGTAGTGGATTTTTTTTTATCTATTTACATTTGCGAATTAACATAATTGTAATAAAGTATGCTCCATTTGTTTAAAAAATAATTACATTTTGTATAAGAAAATCAGAAGTAGAATCTAGTGCTATATTATAGTTGAAATTTCCAAACGAAAAAAAAAACACGCAACAGTTGCTTCATTTAATAAATTTAATAAGTAATTGTCATGTGTATAAACTACTAAATTTAAGAATCATATGATTTGTGAAACAATAAACACGAGATTTTTAATCGACGATATCTAAAAATATCGAAGGGTCCTTACAAATTTTTTTTAATTTGATCTTTTTAAATTTTCATAATACTTTTTTAAAAAAGATTTTTTAAATATGTCGGATCCTTGTACTATTCGTCCCACTCAGAATCTGTAGAAAAAATCCCATATATAATATATTTTGAATAACTTTATTAGTTGATAACTACGAAAACGTTGATAAAATGGATGCTCACTTTTCCTTCTATAGAATGTCAAGTTTAATTAATGACGATGAAAAAAATGCCTCAAGAAGTCCGTGATGTCGCCCAGAGACTCTTGATAAGCAAAAAGTAAGTATAATATGCATATGATTATAGTCAGATGAGGTATAGCCAGTTTTTCATTTTCTCATTCAATTTCTTTTATATAGACCGATGTTTCCAAAGCTAATAATAGCTTTTGGAACACTTCGTCACCTGCATCGTCATCGTCATCGTCCAATAACGGAAAAAGAGAAGTGCGACAGAATTAATAAGCACTTCGTCTATAATTCCTACTATTAACACAGAAATGACATGCTTTGTTCCTGACGAAGATGTGCCGTTGAAAGCCAATGGTTCATTAGATATCCTTGAAGTGATAAAGTCAGCCGTACATACTTTTGACAAGGATACTATTGAAATAGGTTCTTCCCGCTCGTATAAAAGCTCAAAACATCTACGAATAGATTATGAGCAATATTTTTTATCACTTGGGTCTTCCTTTCAACGGAAAACTTTTCATAATTAACAAAATCAAAATATACTATATGGGAGATTTGGATGCACGATCTATATTGGAAGGTTTGGAACAGAAAATAATTTATTATCTTAATTATTTATATTTGTTATTATTAACCAGCCTTTTATGATCATCTTCTCATTAGTGAGGATAATTCACTTATTAAAGATCACGATGAAGCCATTTAAAAGATTGATAATCAATTACTTGGATTATTTCTTCCTCCTTGCTAAAAATTACAGGTTTCTTATGGGATTGTTAGATATTTGAGACATAAAGACTCGTATGTAGAATTTTTTTTTTGGTAAATAAAATAAAAAAAATAAGCGAATAAATTTATGCTGTTTAATTTCCTGAATAGATATATGTTGCATCATCGAAATTTGAACCTCTTTGGTTTCCCCATAGTAGCTACATTAGAGCAGTGGTCATGTCGATAGTAGATGTGCATGCAGCTAGTCCTTATGCAATGTAAGTTAAAAATTGTTGATTCATTTCTTTTCTACTTTATAATAATTATTTTTAACTCACCCTTATTTTTTTATATCAATTTGGGAATAATAATCTTTACGGTTACGGCATTTCAAATTGCATTAGGTTTATTGGCAATTTGGGTATAGCTAATGTCGAATCAGCAAGCTACTGGGTCGTTCGTCATTTAAAACATTTACGTTTTATTTGGGGTTATCGTACTTGTAGCTACATGGTAAATTTATTTTGAATTATATCGAGTTCTTCGTCATGCATTTAGATTTTGGATTCTTATTTATTTGATTTGTATAGGACGCAAATATTCTTGGGATTGATTAAATATGGGGACGGACAAAGCATATATTTGGACCTAGAGGTTGGAATCGGCCAAAAATTCTTTAACCCGGTTAATAACCGGTTAAAATATTAGTTAACCGGTTAATTGACCGGTTGATAATTAACGGTCCAACCTTTATTTGGACCTATTTAGCATGGTTAAGTAAGTATTATAAAGAAAGATAACTTTTGTCATTTTTAAATTTTACCAATCATATTTATGATTATTTTTTTCAAAAACAAAAAAAAAAAAAAAAATAATTAGCGTTTTGAAGTTTTATTTGGATTTGTGATTACGCAAGCGAATTTTATTACAAGATTAAAATATGTAATTCTTATGACCCGTAAGACTAACCGATGATTTATCGGAACGTATCCGTGCTTGTATTCCTCATAAATTTTATGAACATTTACCCGCCATATCATGGAGAGCATGTATAATATTTAATGGAAATTTTTTTTTTTTTTATAAATTTATATTTTTATAAATTATTAATTAATTTAATGTATTTTAATATAAGGGTTATGGCAGGAGCTAACCTGTTATAGCGAAAGGGTTAGTATTTGAAATCCATAATGGATTCCAATACATCAGATGGACAAAAGATCTTACATCGTGTCATTGCGACAGATATTACCAACGACTTCTTTTTCGATCCATCAGTTGTAACAGTAATTAATCAGAACTTTACGTAAAGCATCATGAAATCAATCTCATATACCGACAAGCATATCAGGTGCTAACGAACAAGTGAGATAATAATTAAACAAAATATATTCATTGATCATTCTGTTAGAATGTTTTTTCAACATTTTTTTTAATCGAAGAATTGTTTATTTCCGATAATAATAAAAATAATAAAAATATACAAAAAAAAAAAATCACATCTACGTAAAATTTATAATTATGTGAGTTACTACTATATAGGAAGTTACACAGTTTGCATAGTGATGCCGACAGCCGACAACCCGATAGAGTGACAAATTTTTAGAATTAAATAAAAGAAACATGCACAGAATATAGAAAATTATTATTTTTATTCATTAACTTAAAATATTATTAAAATTATTAGTTAAAATAAATTTCTAAAAAATTGATCATTTAAAATTAGAATAAACAAATTTCAAAATGAATAACAAATATATATTATAGAATTTACCAAAAGTAATAGATCTAGCAGTTACTGAATTATCTTGTTCTATTGCATTTTTATTAAAATTTAAAGATCATCTTTAATTCCGTTTGAAGTTCTTTCAGGTGGTGGTGGCGGATGATTATGTATTCCCTTGCTTATAATTACCATACAAGAACGTTGCTGTAAATTATAAGGAATTAAGAGTAAAATGCACATTACAAAACTTTTTATATATTTTTCCTCTGACAATATGACCATTAGCATCAATATGTATTTTTTCTAAAAAATTATTTTAATTTAATAAAATTATTTAAAATAATTAAAATATTTAAATATAATCATAAAATAATAAATTTATCACATAATTTCTGATGAGAACTTCAGGAAGCAATTGTTGTGCAATATTTTAATGATTCTTGCTCATTCTATTATAAAAATCAATCATTAGATTAGCTCTAAAAATTACATTTAAATATTAAATATAAATTATTTTAAACTTACTACTATAGCGTTACCACTAAGTAATTCCTTTAATAAAGAAATATCATAAGTTGTAGGATCTGCTTTAATATATCGATGATATTTATCATTAAGTTAATATTTATTACAACTAATAACATAATTAGAAATGGACGTTTGATAATTTTTAACATAAATTAATTTAGGTCATGGAACTCCATTTTGATGAAATTGGCATTTAGATTCTATGCTTTCAAGATAAAGCCTAAATATAATAATAGTTAAAATATTTTAAATAATTATCAACTAAAAATACAATTTTATAATCTATACATCCACATAGGTCTTTGCTTTTTTTTTGTTTCAGCTTGATCATTATTACTAATATCTTGCCAGTATTCAGAATTAAATCAACATCCTTATGACTTAGATTAAGTAGTTTGGATTGACATATTCACAATGTTTAACGTCCATAATTAACGATTTTCTTTTTTGACTCTAATATTGCCAAAGAATGGACTACTTTGAATTGAACTTTGGCCTCCTCCTCCTTAAGAATATTGAATCCAAAATATTATTTATTCATCAATAAAAGAAATAATAATATATTAAAATTAGCATATAATTATTAGTTAAATTATGATTACGATAAAATTTAAATAAACTTCGCACATTTTTCCAGCAGTCTTTTGGATTTTTCCAACCTATGATATTATATGCTGTTGCTACACCCAGTTCAGATGTTTTAGGATATTCAATTGGCACAGTTGAGTAATGAACTTCTTTTATCTGAGTTTTTTCGAAAAGATAGTGAAGTAATCTTCCATTTCACTTAAATCATTACTATCATCAATTTCAACGGTATTGCTATCACTATAAATCTGGTAAACTTTTAATATCAAAAGTAACTTATTAAAAAATTAACCTTTATTAAAAAAAATTATTTAGCTTACATTTATATCTAAACTAGGCTCAAAAAGAGCAGCATCTATTTCGTCAATATCTGAAAGTTCGCTCATTTTTATTTGCTTTGATTATGTTTTCTGTAGAATAAATTTATTTTTAAGAAATTATAAAGAATAAAAAATTTAAAAGATTTAAAGAATTTCAAATTTACGTGTGCAATATTATATTTTCGCGTCTATAATATATACATGTCATCATACTATATTACGTTAGTGTGGTACAATAAAATGTCAATTGCGATAGTATAGTAATCATGCTGATCATATACTATACTACTTTACTATATAACCATTCTTAAGCATATACCATACATTTGTCACCATACATACATACATCGGTCACCATACCATACTTGTTTTCTATACGATCAAATTTTTTCCATACTAGTATGATTATTCGCCGCAAAACAATACCGGTATGGAATTTTCAATTTTCAATCCATACCGGTATTGAATATTTATATATTAGATTAAATTAATTATAATTTTATCGTCAGATACAATTTCAATATCTTAAAAAATGATCAGATTTTATTTGAACAGAATGCCAATAATTAAAAACACAAAGAAAGATTATAAGTCGCGTTGGTAGTTGTTTTGTTGTTTTGTTTAATTCATTATATTATAATGAGTAAATCAGGTATTAAGTTTAAGAAAATTTATAAAAATTAATTAAAAGTTTTGCATTTATAAATTGAAGAATTTAATTAATCAAATTAAACACATTCCAGAGTGATACGAAAAGGAGTAGAGTCGGTAGAGTATATCACGTGTTATGTTGAGTATATTTTTTTATATTCAACTGCCCTAACCTAATCCTAACCTACCAGCATTAAAGATAACTCCTAACAATTCAGTATGACAAAAACAATACTCAACATCATAACACATATGATACTCTACTAATCACCCCACCCGACTCTACTCTTTTTCGTAATACCTTACATTCCATACATTCCATACATAAAAATCCATACCATACATGATTGCTATATATGGAAAATTGGTACAGTACGATTTGTCAGACCAGTACGGTACAATTTTGCAGAGGAATATTTTTTCGTGAAATTTGAATTGTACCGTACTGTATTGGTAGTATATATAAAGCTTTATTATAGAACCAGTACGGTATGGTACGATTCTCTTGACCGATACGGTATGATGTTGCAGATCAGTATTATTATGGCCAGTACAGAGTACGGACTAATTCTATAAATTCGTACTGGTAGTATATATAACAATGCTTTTCTTTTATTAAATTAATTTTTGACAAATATACCGTTGAATTAAAATATTACTCAGAAATTTAAAAATTCTGGGTAATGATACAGATCGTACTGCAGTACGAATTCAAATGAATTCTCTAAAATTCGTACCGTACCGTACTAGTCAGCTCTATATATACTACCAGTACGGTACGATATGATTCAAATTTCGCGAAAAATACTGATTTGCATAATCATACCGTCTTGGTCTGGCAAATTGCACTGTATCAGTTTTCTATCTACCCTGTCCGGAGTATGATATCAGATATTGCTTAGATAATTATGCGCGTAAATAGTTTCAGATTTAATTTCAGATTATTTGATGTTTTTCAATTTGTTGTCCGATACAACTTTTGGCTTGAACCGCAAAACTGAACTCATTTAAAGGTAATTTCTGCGGTTAAATAATAAATAAATGTTAATTTTTAGGTTACTTCTAATCGGAGTTGCTAGATCTGGAAAATTTTATTTAACTTCTTTGGCAAAATTATTAGATCCAAAGAGCATGTGTTTTCATTCGAGATTTACATCATTGAAATCAAATCTACATTATAAACAGTCGAGAGATATAGTTAACAAAAAAAGTTAATGTTTAATTTATTGAACAACGAAATTCATTTTATTTTTCTGGTTTGCACACAAAAATTATAGCAAGATAATTAGATTCTCTACTCGTTGAGGCATCCAAATATTTCTGAATAATTTCAAATTTAAAAATCTAATCTAACAGTTTGATATTTAATATCTAAGACAATTACAATTATTATGATTTACAGGTTAATTTATTTCACCACAATGCCAACAAAAACACTTAAATTAATAACTATTTGTTAAAGAAGCAGGCTTAAGTATTATAAATTAAGCATTAAGAACTTTTGTAAATATAATTTATTCAATTTAAATCTTTAAAATTCAGTATGGGTTGAATACCTGATAAATGAATTAGATAAAGCGAATCTATAAAAGTTAAAAAAAATAAAAAAATAAATTTTATAATTCAAAACAAATACGAAAAAGAAAGAAAATTATTGATGCAGGGAATCGCAGGAAATATCTCTAAATGATAAGGGGATTAGCCACCTCAAAGATATGAATTAAGCTAATATTGAAAGAAATAAAATCTGGCAAAGTATAAATTTATTAGAATATGTGAATGATTTTACAAACAAAATATAAACTAAAAACTACCAGTCCTTGGGGTATAAAACCAGTCTCCTTGTTCGCTTTCAGGCTCAATTTAATAACGAGTGCTTGTCAAAAAGAATACATGATGTAGCTAATTACACATTCTTTTTAGGAGCCGTTAAATAAGACCACTCTTAGTCAAGTCATTTAAACTTAAAAATTGAAGCTTCATTCATTACGACAGATATAAAAATTTGTAAGCCTTTACACAATACAAATGTATGCGGGAAATTTCACTAAACGATAATGGGATTATATGTCCATCGGATTGATCCTGTTATATATGATGAGTAAACAAATAATATAAAATCTATGAATTCCGTTAGAAAGAATTAAAAAAATAGACGAAAATACATTTAATAAATAAAACCAAATTTATAAAAAATACTTCTGTTAGATAACTCCAATTGAACATATTGTTAGTTTCAACAATATTAGTTTGAATTTGAGTTATTAACAAAGTTGATAAGAGAAGTTTTAGTATATTAAACAGTGACAATTGACAGACTCTGGTATTTACTTCATTTTAAAATATACTAAACAACCAGGAATCCTTAAGACGCACTCAGTCATCTTCCTTCCGATGAAATTAATACTAACTTACCATTACGAATTTTCATCGCCTTCATTTTGCCTTTAAACTTTATTTTTATTTTTTTTAGTAGCGAATTTTTCATTATTTAGATCTATATTTAAAACATTTAAAATCGGAGAGATATTAAATTTTATGGACGCGTATATTTGCTTAAATATAAAATGAGATGTTGAAATATATCACATCCAGAATGTGTGATAGGTTAAGTCACGTCAGTGACAAATAACTGTGTGACAAGTATGCTAACACCTTAAAAATCGAACTAAGTTTCTCGTGACAAATGTGATATTATACAACATTCTAGCGTCACCCGTAAAAATGGTAGTCAGATTTATTTATTGGGTCACTTATATATATTAGGAGTAACATATGATTGAGATAATTAGCAGTTTTTTGCAAAAATTTTTTCTATCCCCAGAATAACTTAGTAAATGAAAAATGGCCATTATGTAATAATACTACCCTAATCCAATCCTAATCCAATCCTAATGCTCAAATTATAAATACCCCAACAAAACAAATCCGGCTACCATTTGTTACGAGTGACGCTGAGTAAGTCGACATTAAATTAATAATATCTGTGGGCACACATTTCAGATATTTTGGTCACGTGATTTATTTGGCTTATAATTATATAACTTAGTAATAAAAGAAAGCATTTTGATTGATATTGCATCAACGGAAAATATTTTAATTTATTATTATGTATTATATATTATTTTTATTTTTAAAAATAATTCTAAGTTAACTTACTTTTAATAATAACCAGTTAAACGAGATTTTTATATTTATTTCAGTATAAAATAAGAGCAAAAGTAATTGAATATTATATGTATTGTTTGTAAAGAATTCTCATTAATATTCAATATTTGTACTGGCACTGCTTGTAAGAAAAAAAATTAATAAAAAAATGGAAAAAATGGAATAATAAAATTTTATTAGATTTTTCGATTTATTCGCTTAAATAAAATGACTGAAATTTTCTTAGGTAGAACAGATTTTCATAAGAAGACAGATTCAGAGGACAGACAACATTAGAGAATAATTTAATTATCATATATAGATAACAAATATGAAAAACTGTATTAAAGAATTTAAATAAAAATAGTTTTTTTAATATAAGGATGGGGATATCTAATAGGACTCAGGTTGCACGAGCACCCACTCATTATGCAGTTAAAGAGAAGATGCATAGCATTTCCTTCGCCAGAAATTGCAGACCCTTACAGTTGTACCGGCCCTTCTGGGAACTTAGAAAATTTTATAGACTATGATATCGCAAGTATGAGATCGATTAAAGAAATTCACAGTATTTCACGTTCTAATTTTAGTCTATCTCGTTGAGTTTATGTAACTGAATTATAGTTAATTTATATTATTATTCCAGATAATACCACTATAAAAAGAAAAACATATCGTTCAATATTATTTTTTTAAATTCGCAATAATGGTTAAACGTAGAACCGCTTCAAAAAGATATTACGAAGAGAAATATATATATAAGATAATAAAACAAGAAAGAGAAATAGTGAGAAAATTTTCTGACGGTAAGTTCCAATACAGATTTAGATGTATAGTTCCAGAGCGTGTACGATGTGGAAAATCTCTCGTCCGTTGTCCATAGATACCTCGCTTGCTTAGTTTTCGAAATCCCGTTTACGACCTTTCCTTTAATCTACCGGACTCTTTCACTAATTCTTGAAAAGATTTTAATATAGGAGAAAAAAAAATAAATGAAAATAATCCAAATAAGATTGTTGATAATCGTTTAGTAATTTAATTTATTTTTATCTTTTTATATAAAAAAATATTTTTTATTATAATCATTTATATTGAGAAAAATCGGTCCTCATATATATAAAATGAAAAGCTTATTTCATATAAAGGACTTGAACAAAAGGTATGTGAGAACGTGTCTGTTATCCGTTATAAATATTTATTTAAATAATAACCTTTTACCTCTTCTCACATTGTTGGCTTGGTATCTGTAAACTTAAACGATAAACTTT